CTTATTGTCGATTGGGCGTGGATGGGGCACACTTACCTGTTTAGTTAACTGCTCTTCGCAAAGCTGACTGAGACAGTGAAACTTGGATGCGAGTTGGGCATTGTTAACAAAACCACAGGCAGCAAGTTTGACTCGAATGATAATTTGGCGGTCGGGTACCATCATAGCAACCAATCGGAAGCTTGTTTTTAGATTTTCCGGCAATCGCTGTCGTCCAGCGTACCCGGGATTCTGTAAAGAAAAGGGTATAAGGTGGCTCAACCATAAAATATACGCGTTTGAAAAGGATGCTACAAAACACTGCAGAAAATAATACATCTGTCATATATACGTGGTAGTACGCGATTTGGTCATCAAACCAACAGTTCAATCCTGAAATTTCCATGAACGTATTCAATGGTGTAAGCATTGGGACCTTGAATTGTGTTACTTGTAAAATTGATCAATTACAACTTAAATTCGTAGAAATCCCATTACTCCTTAACAAGAAACAGTAATAAATGGGATGGGCCTTTTGTCGGGTTTACTCTGGGTTTGACACTGCAATCCGAATACCTTGTTGTGCAATGAAAATTAGGAAAAATTTGACACAAAACTTTGATCTTTGAGTTCGAAGATGTGTTTGTGAATATAAGGGAGAATTTCAAAAGCATATTCCGGTTTCTCCCTTACCATGGTGATAAATATGCCGAATTCCGGATTCATAGAGACAACTTCACCATCGGAGAATGTGAAGGAGGCCTTGTATTCGCGTTTGGCCTGCAACACAATAGCAATTTGCATTGCGGCCACCGAAAGCACCGGCAATTCCAAACGATTGAATTCGTCAAAACAACCCCATGAACCGGACTGAGCTAGACCTTTGAAAATGCGTCCGAGACCACGAAAGTCCATTTGATCGGAACAGTTGAAAACAACTACATACTGTCCCAAACATCGGCCCATATCCTGCGGTGTTAGGGTATTGGGATAAACTTGAATCAATGGAAAAAATGATTCCCTACGAATACGAATGAAACAAAAATAGTCACAATGAAGTCAATCGAAAAAGTGTCATTTGCTTTGTTATGGTTTTTAACCTTTATCGCTGTCATGTCGAGTGAGGCAGCCGTTTCAAATACCCTGTTTTGGAACGTTTTTACGAAATATCACGAAACGGCTTCTGAACATTTTTCTTTTCGCTTGCTGAACCGATGGGTAGTGAGAACCGAATTGCACAAAGTAAACACAAGTGGAAGGAACAATGGAATGTCACGTTTGCGTCACATTTCATTATGAGATATATCTCAGAGCAGTTGAATGGTCTTCTCATACTCTTTCCTTGCCTGAATAAATCCATATTTCTTCAAAAATGCGCTAGATTTTAGTCACTCAAGCATTGAATCATATGTACAACAAGAACAGAACATGGCAGGTATTCTTTTTTGTCATCAATAACAAGGGTTATTTTGAAAAACATTAAGATGGGCTGGCCACCATGTGATACAAGTCTTTTCATGCAATCTGAATGGCAATAAATGTTGGAAAGCTATAGCAACGATGACAATGCAACGCAAATGTGTGAATGCTAAAACCGAATCGATCGTCCATTATTCCACGTAGCAGCCAGTCAGGTTCGGAATATCTCAGACCCAGTCATAATGCTGGAGTCCAGCACTCAGAAGAGCGACATAGAACGTGCGCAACAACTTTATGTTTTCAGACATGCTATGTCTTGTATGGATAAAGTGAAAAGTGATCTGGTGGAATTCCCGGTGCTCACAAGGGTATTAGGGCTGCGTTCGACCCGTGAGGTTCTGAGATCATTCTTCATCGGGGTTGACGGACTCAAATTGCTGATGATAACTAACCACGTTGGAGCAAATGTACAGTGCTTTAACTTCCTCTTAGAAGTCAGGTACTCAGTAATTTGTTCCAAACGAAAGGCTTATTTCAGTAATCAAGCATCTTCAACTTATTGAGCGATTTTTTGTGTCTATGAGGCATATAAACACAGAATTAATTCACCGAGCAAGCGAATGAAATAATTCGTAAGGGATTTGATTTTGCATATTTGAATTTTAATTCCAGCGACAGAATTTGGATTTTTGGGTTGGAATCGTTAATACAGTGTCTCCAGTTTACATTTGCACTATGGCTATGGGGGTCTACAATCAATCCATTCTATACCAACTGCGGTTGATTTCATTTTCGAGGTCAAGCAACATCTTAAGTGGGATTGCTCCAACGTTTCACATCGTTCTGTCCCTCACTTCCGTGATCTCAAAAAAGTAAATTCCCTCTGACTCTGTGTACTATCTGATTGGATCATTTTCCACTTTGCGCAACTTGGAGTCCCTCAGTCCTTCTCAAATTCAGTTATTCTCCTCCAAACTGTGAACGAACTTTGACTTTTAACACGATATCCGCTTTCCGGACCCACTGAGACAAATAGAATCTGTAGCTTAGACAAGTCAAGTGTTGGCATAATTCAATAGCTTGAACTTTTTCCACTTCACGTTGCCCGGATGGCGCGTCACTCTATAACTGGTCATCTACCAAGGCTTAAGCAGCATATAATTCATAACCTATCCGACAATCACACAATCAATCGGATGGCTCCGGATGGCTCCGCTGCAACAAGAGACGTCATCCTTGCCCAACTAACCCGAGTTAGAACCCGTATCTTGCTCACAATCTCAAGCCTTTTGAATGCCCCGTGAACTTTGACTGTGCACAGAAGGCGTGCTACCATCACACAGCTGGATCACTGATGAAAACAAGAGCATCACAACACTACGAACCGGTGATCAGACAGTTTCGTGCCAGTTACATCATGCGATTACAAAATCTGGTACTGTTTGAGTAACAGAGAATTCCAAATAAAATGAGTGATTTCCACGTACGAAAATTACCGACCCGATTACGAACGATTATTGTTAGGTAATTAGTTTGACAATTAAGAAATGTTTCCTCTTCTTTTGCCATGAAATGTATATTGTAGTTCTTACGGTTCAACATTACCCCTATAAAAGATTATTTTGCCAATTATGATTTGCCTCAAAGTTCTCCAATGCTACTCCACACTTACCTTGATTGTTTCGGTCTTACCGGTCCCAGCCGGTCCGGTTGGCGATCCACCAAAACCGAGACTGAGCGCCTGAGCCAGGGTAATATAGCATCGGTCTGTGAGTGGTGTGATCACCAGCCGTTCAGCACATCCGAGAAATTCGTTCTGATATTCGAATTTTACGTCTGTGATCGAGATCACACATTTGTCCAGGTCGTCATGATACTCAGCTCTAGTTTGTTTGGTCCACTCGAAATCTTGCGGGTTTCGAATTCCCTGCTTGCACTACAAGTAAATCAACCAGAGAAGGCAACAATCAAACGCGGAAATGTCAAACGGTGGACTTGAATTCTGCTTTTTCCATGAGTTACTGGTGTGGCAGTGTACACACGACAGTTCTGCAGCTGCACGCGGCGTGTGACTGTCCCGCGATCAGTTGATTACTCTTGACTCAAGTGTCACACTGTTGCGTTGAGCCTCACTTTTGTTCTGGTGACAATCGGACCTAAGTTTAATCCATCTGTTTTCTTATCTCGTGTTCTAAGTACTGCATGCAGAAGAGAAAAATTTGGTGGGTAATTGAATGCTCGATCCCCTGACGGATATGATGCTGACATATACCGCTTAACCATTGCCACCCTAATTGTTGCTTGATGGAACTGTGTGTGATCTTATTTACAGTGGGTTGATCATAGCTTTCACATCATGCAGTAGTAAATGGGTTTTCTCTGAGCTATATCTATTGGGAGTGATCAATAAGTAGTATTTACCATTGGAGTTCGTTGCTTGTGAAGACAAATTGTAAAACGTGAAAACGGAGAAGACAGCCAGGAAGCAAGAATGTCTAGCCGACTCACTATGACTTCAGCTTCCAATCCAGTATTTGCGATTCTATGATCTTCATTTCCTCTTGGTTTTTTAACCTTCTGTACAACAAATCTTGGTTTCCACAAGCAGATAGCTCTCGGACATTAATGGTGTATTTCAATTAAACCAATGAAGTGTATACTTCGATTACGACGTCTAAATGGGGTGCTTTCAAGGCCCTAATCACCGAAAATTGTGATCCGTGAAAATCTGCACGGAAAATGCGTTTTGATCAAANCAAAACAAATAATGGAATAAATGTACTGTAATAAAAAGCTGCAGAAGTCACTGATCCAAGAGAAGCAATAGGCTGATCGATTAAAACTCATGAGAATATCAATTTAATCAGCCTTCAAATATGGGTCTCTCTGGTACATGCATTCAAAATACGGTTGTTTTTGTATTTAACTTTAGATTCGCTTATTCAACTATATAAGTTAACCGGTATGATTGTTTCTTCTTTCGTTCTTTTCCATGTTCCTTTGGTATTCCTTCATCGTTATTTATTCAAATTATTTAGAAAAATTTACTGATATGTTGCGACAACACAACCACTTCTGTTCAAGCAATGAATCAACGAGGTTGTCCGAACATGAAGACCAGCTCCGTTTTGATCCGAACCCGAGAACAAAACAGTCAGGCAGTGAATACATTCAAAGCCAGTGATGGATAGGTGGACTGGGGATGAGAAATCCATTTTGATGAGAACAATTAATAAAAACTAAATAATCTATGCTTACCAGATCTTCAAAGATGTCTTTCTGATGCAAATGGATTGTGATAANATCGTGCATCCTCTAAAGCGTAAACCGCTTCCCGTGTCCAGATGAACTGCAGGCCCAATATGCCCACTTGTGATGGATAGCTGTTTAGAAACGGCAACAACTGAAACTCATCATCGCGCGTGGCCACATGGGCGCTGCGGATGAGATCATGCACGGAACACTGAATGGATTTTAGCAGATGATGAAGCCATAACTCCACTGGTCCGTCACAGTAAGTCGGTGCAGATAGCTTAATGGTGAAAGAAATTTTGATAAAAAGAAATCAAACAAATATTGGCATTTCTCATTAAGAGAAAAAGTAGTTAACAATATACCATCAGTAGACTTTTAATAATGAAATGAATGCAGTGCAGACTTAGATTTTATTGATGAAAAAGGGAAAATATGCGGTCCAGTATAAGCGGTTTTTCTTTAGTCCTTTACTGTTAGATTAATTTTACTGATAACGGCGCTTCCTGTTCCTACCTTCCCACTATATAGCACATCTAAAAACGTCCCACTAAGATTATCCCAGTCAGAGCTGATTGGAGCTTTTCTGCATACGATTGTGGTGGACTATCCGAGGCTAGTGGTGAAAACTGCGTTCACATCACATGGTGCATGCACGCATGCAGTCGTGAGTACTGCATCCGGGTGATCAGCTTGCGTAGTTCTCTCGGATAGGTTAATGCATCACAAGATATAAATGGGAATCCATTTTAAGAGCTGTTATTGGAATTGCATGACTGTCCTCAGGGCAATCAGACTTTCAGCTCAGCGGAAAGGCTCAAGTGATTTCAACACCTGTATATATTATCTATATATAAATCAGTATTGCCTCCAAAAGCCTCAGTATGGTCGGGGTAGGTGTCTCGGATTTTGGATGGTCACCCCTCCCTTGCAACTCACAAAATGCTCCCATAGAACGAAGTGTCTCAAGTATCTTCTGCGGAGGAAACCCTACTCACTGCCTTCTCGTGTCAGAGTTGTTTTCCCACTAAATTGAAAGGACGAAAGGCTAACATCCGGGACTATAACCGGATCGGTGAGCCGTTGGCAGTTCACCTAGGGAAGTTGGCTAACAACCAACCAAGAAGAAGTGTACGAACCACACACCCACACCTTATGGGTGTTAGTAGTGGTCACCGGCTCGATTGGGTCTCGAGGTGTGTTCGGCACCTTGGATGTTTGACTCCGTCCAATGGATGTATAAACTCATGAATCGGACAACGGCTCCCAATGGACTGTGGTTTTACATACCGCTC